AGGTGGGTGCAGGAAGGTGGCCCTTGGCAGGTATGGGAAAAGGGTCTTGTTCCTCAGAGCACACTGGGAGCTACAGTGTCCCTGAGTCACTAGGAACCATATCACCAGCCAGCCCATTTATCGGTGCAGTTCCGGATTCATAGATCCACGCTTCTCCTTTTCCTGCCCTGCCCTGACATTTCCTCTGGAGGAGCACTGGGGCTCTCTCTCAGCAGGACCGAGAGATGTATGGGAACATCGAAGCATCAAACATGCCCCGTGCTCAGTTTCTGCCTCCTCCCAATGCCAGCTTTGCTTTGCGCATCATGAGCTCTGCCCAGCAAGGTGATAGGAAAAATTGGCCATGGATGATGCTCTCCAAAGGAGCGTTTCAGACAAAATCGGACGGGATTTATCAACACAAGTCCAACTAAAAAGAGAGCATGTGCTCATTTCCAGCTAATATGTCTATGATAAGCCACAGATCGTAATAAGAACAATAAAAACCCATAAGGATTGACATCAGTGAGATTTACGCAGCTAAAACTTTGCAGAACACTGTGAACATGTACAGCAAAAAGTCTTGAATTACAAAAGAAGAGAAAGAGAGAGAAACCGAGACACGTCCTCTGCTCTCTCCTGTGAGGGGAAGCATTGCTGGGAATTCTGGGCACTGGGCAAATTAAAACCAGTGTTTCAGCCCAAACTACAAGCTTCTTGGTTTTTCTCTGTGTAAATCAGATCCTTACATTATCTCAGTGTCATTTTGTGGCTGAAAGCGATTCAGCAACTATCAGCACAGCCAGACTGAAATTCAGCAGAACAGGATCTGAGCACTTCAGCTCTTAATGATTAGATGTTTCTGTGGAAATGAATCTTACAAAAAAATGAAGTTCGGCAGAAAGTTGACAGTGTGTTGAGACCGCAGAAGGGAGAGGAACTTCACAACTCGGCCTTCACACTTTCCACCTATAGGATTTCAACATTTGCTAAAGTTGTAGTGAGGGCAGGTTCACTGCTCCCTCTGGGAAATATCACATTCAGCAATTCCTGAATTACAGTTTCTAATTATATTTTCATACTGTAGTGCTGTCTGAAATGCAAATTTGATGACAGAATAATTCGATCCATGTAAAATAATTACAAAATTACTGTTTCTCAAACCTCAACTCTTACTCCCTGCTATTTAAGAAGATAAATTTAACAGCAGCAAAAGTACAGCCAAAACATAGTCTATTTTTCTAACTGTTATCTGACTATAACTGTCTGCATAGATTTTGGCTCACCATGGAAGATTATTTCTAAAATACGACTACCAAAAACATTCCAGAGTTAGAAATTTTGTTACTTTAGCTTGGAACCAACAATCAGGTCAACTTTAATGTTGCAGTCAGGGTACCATACGCATGGCATCTGGGTTTAATTGGAAAAGCAACTGTTGATTAAAATGCCAAATTGCTACTGCAGCTCAGTTATCAGTTAAACCAGTTGTTGCTAATGTTGGTGCAGGACATTAAATTAGCACAACGTAATGACTTTTTGCAGGGTGGAAACCAACTTCTGCAATATGTAATTTAAGAGCCTGAAACTCCATACTGCTACAGCAGTTCCCACTGTCTGACAAGTTCCCCTCCCCGTATGGGGGATCTTATTCCCCCCCAAAATATTGCCTTGAGTAGTGGCTAGGACCATTAAAAAGACAGCAGAATTCTCATTTTGTCTGAAAGAAATGCAAGGAGTCATTAGTGCTCTGCATTGCAAGGTTTTTTCAGGCTTTATTATGCTTCTAGCCTAAATTTAGATTGTCATTGCCCATCAATTCAACCAGATCAAGGTAGTGTGTTATTGAGTGTGTTATTTTTACTAGGCTAGAGGCATCAACAGCTCACGTCTGTATTTTAATTTCCCTAGCTGCATCCAGTTGTGTGAGAAGTGACTCCAAGAGATCTCAATCCTGTTTTTAGCCAAGGTCTCTCCTAAGGCGAAGTGCTGCGATTCCTCAGGAATTGCTGGTCTGCTCCCCCTTCTCCGTGGACAAGGAGACTGTCGGAAGAGATCGTCTCCTCCTCATGTACATGCAAGGAGGTGACATTTGCAAGTGATGTGAAGGCTGATGGAAGGTGTGAGGGTCAATCTGGCCTCCCCAGAAGAAGGTGGAGTGTCACCAAGCCCATGTGCATCTCTTTTTTTTCGTTGGGCAGAAGGTGGCGGATGGGCTGCAGCCACCTTTCCCCCCTCTCAGCAGTAGGAAGGAACCTACAGGCTGTTTGTTCTTTTCTCATGGTGGGTGAAACCATGGCAGGGCAGAGATGGCGGGATGCTTAGCATTACACTGCCTGGCAACTTCACACACTCCCAAGGTAAAATCCAAGTGTTTGTCGAAAGGGTTTGGTACAGAGATGACCAGCGAGAGCATGAAATCACCGAGCAGAGGCACACAGCCCCGGGATGGCTCTCGCACACCGCCCCCTGCCCTGCCCCAGAGAGGGGACCTGCACCTTTTCCTCCAGTTGCAGACTCTTGCATTGCCTGCGAGCTGCCTGCCTGACTGCATCTTGGCCATCCCCACCTCTGGGGCTCAAAGGGGCCCAGGCCGATGGGATGCCCAAAGCCCACCAAGACTCAATGAGACAGGACAGAGCTGGTCACTCTGCCAAGCAGGACACATCCCTGTGCAACCTCAGCGGCACTCACCAGCTTCCCCAGTAATGCTACCTCTCAGACCTCCTGACACAACACGTCTGGGACCCTTCTGGTAAAACATGAAGCAGTTTATCATCCTCCTATCTCAGGTCAAGTTAGTGCCTTTTGAAGACTTGTTCAGTATCACTAAAGCAAGATATGTCCATTCCAGCTGGAGATGAGGAACCTATTTTTAAAATATTTCTAATGAATAGCTCTTGAACAAAATCTGCATCAATTATTTTTCACCTTGCAGGTGTTTTCAAGGCAGCAAATGCTATAGGACGCTGTATTCAAACCTAAATGAATGAGGTGAAGCCCCAGCCCTTGCCAAGCATCATTGCCGCACTGATGACTCAAGTCAAACCTGGCAGGCAACCACAGCTACATGTGGAGCCAAATCCACCAGACATGAAAATGAATGACTTTTTTTGAACGGCAGGTGCTGCTCAGCTCGAATCTATCCCCATGCTCCGTGCCCCAGTCCCTCCCTGGACTTGCCCCACCGATGTAAGCTGGTGAACAAGCCTTCCTCGGAGGGTGGTGGGTCGCATCGGCCGCCTCCCCTGCCCTCCCCTCCCACCTCACCGCCCAGACTCCGGGGCGACTTGCATGCAGGTTTGGGGGCATGGTCTGCCGTCAGCCAAAATACAGTTCCCCATGCTGGCTGGGAAGCAGCTGTGCCCAGCTCAGCCTGGCCGGCTTGCCTGGGCAAGGACGCCGAGAGCCCTGCTCCCTACGGGAAGGCTGTGCACGGGGTGCTAGCACCTCCCTGGAGAAGCTGTGAGGCTCCTGCAAACCTTTCTTAATCTCACCTATGAGGACCCAGTCAAGATTCCTCATGCACTGATGCACTGGCATCAGGTGAAGAATTTAATAAAGAAAATTTAAAGTATTTCACCCCCCCAAACACTGATAGTTTAGAGTTAAATTGGAAAGAACAGATGAAATGATAACACCAAGTGAAATGGTTTAGAGGTTTCAGATGCATTTATCCTGGTTGCTCTGTTAAGAATGCCAAATGCAGTGAAATCCAGAGCACTAAGCCATAACTTTCCTTACAGAAGTGCTTTCAGTTTTAATCTCTGCCTTGGTTCCCTTTCTGAAACAATTACTTCTGCTGCATTTGCTAACATCAGAATAATTTCTGTAGAATTTTTTTATCTTTTATTGCTCTGCATTTTAAATTGTTTTGTAGTTCCATGATTGTTTCAGAGTGGCAGCTGCTTTAGAAAATCATTACCATTATCAATAAAGCCTTTGAACTTTGGGAGGAAGGGAACAGGAGTATATAATTAGAGGAGATAAGAACGATCTAGCATACTTTTCCGGGAAAAAACACACATGATGCTTCAGCTGTAATCTGTTCTTAAAATGAATCTATATGTTCCCACACAAACAAACTCAGGCTGTGGCACTAAACTTCAGGAGCCCTGGGATCTCCTTCCCCACAACAGCCCCCTTGGAGTAAATGCAATACAGAAATGGACCCAAACAGCCTCTTCTTTTTACGAAAAAACCTAAACAGCATTTCATTTTTCAGTTACCGTGGTGCTGTGCATGCTGCAGTTCTTTTTTTAGCTCATCTAACTGCTCTCAACCCGCAACAGGAAAAAAAAGGAAAAAAACAAGCTGTGCGTGTGCGTGTGAGAAAAAGGGTAAAAGCTTGTGTTACAGCAACGTTGCTCTCTTGGCATATTTCAGAGAATTTTTCAGGAAGCTCTTGATCCTTTCCTCTGTAAACACTATATGGTCAAGAGTGCCACATGCCCCAGGAGAGGGACGGAAAGCGCGGGGAGCGTGCGGGGACTCCGTGTGAACAAAGATGATTTAAAGACTCGAACTTTGGGAGTTGGATTTCAAGCTGTTCCTAGCTGCATCGGCTGCTGGCTTCCCTCTCGCTGAACACGTTGGGTACAAACCCGCCTGAATTGGACAGCATTAAAAAACTACAAGTTCCAACAGAGGTATAAAGCTGTAGAGATGCCCAAATCAACACAATATCTAAACATCATTTCTTTTAACTCCCGAATGTGTTAGCCTAGGATTACTCGTGTTCATTTATATTCCTAAAGTGTCAGACGAGAACAATATAATTTTATTCTCCTTTCACAGATCATTAATCTAAATTTAACTCCGCTTTGCAGTCTGCACACAGAATTAGTAACTGGAAGCTGCTTTGCATTTATCTGATAGTGCCGGGCTTGTTCATCAAGGCAAACTTCCAGCCAAAACAAACAAGTGAAAAAAATATCAGTCACGATAAGCTGCTTTCTATCCTATTTTTTTTTAAAGGAAAAAAAAAAAATACCTGACAAGAACATAAAGCAAATGGTTACCTCACACTGCAGAAATGCAAGTTTTTAATAGTCCATGCTCTGGCAGCCCCTGAGAAACAGCAGCGGCGGCGGCGGCGGCGGGGATAAATCCAGCATCCACTAGGTTCTCACAAGGCTTTGGCTGCGCGGCCGAAACCGCAGGCTCTGCCTCCAGCTGACGTCAAGGCGGCTGTCACATGGCCGGGCGCAAGCCCAGGGAGCACTGGTTGTCCTGGCAACCCCAGCACTGCTCCGAAATTATTTCAATAGGTCATCTGTCATACTGCGCGCACACTGGAACCATCACGGGCGCCCGGACAACCCAAACACCAAGGGCTCGCTGGAGCTGGCTGCGCCGGGGGTTGGTCCCATCGCCGACGCTCTCTTAACCCTGTCCTCGTAAGAAAACGCGCCTCCCCCTTCCTCTTCCTCCTGCATCCCCAGCCTCGAGCGGAAAAAATACCTTATACGCTTGGTTCACCCAAGCAAAGGGGCAAAAGCGCTGCCCTCTGTGCGCCCCTGGGCACCTCGATGATGCGCAGCCGGGTGCTGCACCAGCTGGCTAAAATTTGGGTCTTTCAAAATGACACGCAGCTGACGTTTTATTCAAAGCCAGAGAGATGCGTGTTTGGTGTTCAGCATCCCTGCCCATGCGGGGCTGCAGGCTGGCCCCTGGAGGTGCCTGGCTAGCTTGGCCTCATGTGCCCGAGTCTCGGCTACCAGCCCCTCCTGCTCGCCTGCTCCTGCCCACAACACTTGTCCTGCTACTCCTGGAAAAGCATCCCGGGAAGGGGGACGAAGCAGTGCCTGCCTCCACCTGGCTCCGACTCACCTCTGCAGGCTTATTCTGCAGGCAGACACACAACACCAGTGTCTCAGATTTCCTTGTAACTCTAGCTAAAATCCACTCCTTCCCCTAGATTTCCTTTTTTTTCTTTCTGCACATCGCCTTACCAGAGCCCCGCAGCACACACACAAGGGGCAGGACACAAGGAGAGGCCGGCAGGAGGGAGAGACTTTCCCCTGCAAGAAGCAGGGAGGTAAAGGCAAAAAGTGTCAGCAACAAGAAAATACTCCTGTGCTCATCTGAGTTGGTGATGGTTACTGACCAGTGCTCGGGATATGAAATACCAGGAGTCAACCACAATAGATGGCTCTGGTGGAAGTGGAAGCAGATGTAAAGCCGCATGGGATCTGCAACTGCAAACACTGGGCATCGCCAGCTGAAGTTGGCTTTGGCCCCTTTGTGACAGGCAAAACAGAAAAATATTTAAAAAAAAAGACATGACAACCCAGGAAAGGGTGTGAAGGGGTGCTGGGGAGGGCTTCGCTCCACCCAAGGCAGAGAGAGGATGGCGGGGGTGGTGGGGACCACTAAGCCCCATCACCCTCCTCTGCACCCTGCTCCTTCAGCACGAGAGCAGCGGCCACTTGGGATATTTATGTCAACAGCAACGACAGCCAACGCTGGTTTCTGTAGCATCTAGTGAGACATATGTCTCTCCAGCACAGCCTGTAAACCACCTTTCCAACACCATCACTGCACTGGGACTTCCCAGGGGCAGTTCATATCAGGTGGCAAAGCCCTCTGGGATCGTGAGCTGCCCCCCAGGCCTCAGTGCAAAGCAGTAAAGAGGGCTCAAAGAGTTATTGCAATAGAATAAGGCAGCCCCCACTGTCTAAAATTCATGCCTTAGAAAGAAAATATTCACAATTAGCTGAGAAACCTGTCACAGTTTAACAAAACAAGAATAATGCAATGAATTTCAAAAACCCCACTGATTATTACATGTGTTACATATAACCACACATAGTAATCCACTGCAGAAGGCTGAAACTTCATGTTAACACCCACCAATAAAATTGTACCATAACATGCAGATGTATTTTTTCACTTAATGGCAATGTTTGTACAATACAACAGGAAGTTTGGGATTGCAGTTTAAAAAGATATCCCTCAACACTGCGTAGTGCATTACTTTCTATTAGTCTGTCAAAACTATGTGCACCTGGTGGAGATTTTAATATTTTTGATTCTTTTAAAGGCCCCTTCACAAAAGAGGACAATACAACACATGCATTTGAATGGTCCAAAACATTTCGATAGCATTTTGCTGATGCTTTAAAGGGCTGGCGGAGGCTGCCTGGGGACCCGTGCCCGCTCCACCCACGTAAGCCTGGTGTGCAGAGCGCCTCTGCCCTCCGGCATAAAAATAACCCTTTCACTCTCCTTTATGGGGTATTTCTTCTGCAGGGCAAGAGCCCGGAGGAGTTTTTTAACCATCCATGCTCTTTATAAGGACATACTAATTACGCTTTGTGAAGGTTATAATTTTCAGCCAGTTGAAAGATGCTAAGTGAAAAAAAGAAATGACCCATGCTCTGAAAAACGTATGATAACGACAGCCTAAAATGTGCTGTTCCCAGGGCTTGGAGGAGGTCCTGCTGTGCCTCCCCACCGACGGCAGCGGGGGGTGACTCCTCCACAGGAAAATTTTCTGAATTTCTGACTGAAATCCCTACTTCTCCCCAGCACTTGCTGTAACCTGCAAAGCTTTCCAGGACTAGGGGCAAGGGAGACCTTTACACCACGCAGATGGACACAGAAATGAAAGCAACAGTGTTCATCCTTGGAGGACCAAAGAATCCTGTTAAAAGTGGCAGAAAAGCCTATATTCCCTGATTTAACCTAACTTCTCCATGATAAAGCCCCCAACGCCAAACCAGTCTCTTCTGTAGTGTCAATCAACCCAGTGAGCGCAAAGCAATGAGACACGGACACTGAATGGAAAAATACATAAAAGATATATAAAGGCTGAAGCCTGCTGAGAAACAAATGTGTTGCATCCACCTGGGACCATGGTACAAAGACTCACACTCCTCCTCCCGCAGTGGGGACATGGTGCCTCGTTGGGAAAGGTCTCTATCCTGCATTTGGGACACCCTCTCTCCCTCCCACCCCTCCACGTCTGGGGCCCATGGTGGGCACTACCGGGGGACATGGGTTGGCTCCCTCACCCCCAACACGATGGACGGTCTGCCAGAGCTTCACTGAGTGCAATAAGATGTGTTACACATCATAATATACACATAGATGTCTATAATACTTAAACCACCTGTAGCATACATGTATTGGGACCTATATAATAACTTACACACAGATACAGTGCTACAAGGTGGGACACAATTCAGCTTTTCCTCCCTTGCTTCTTTTGGCTCTGCAGAGCTAACAATAGCTAACATTTGTTTGCCCATAAAATGGAAGACATGCAGGGAGCAGAAACTCTATATGGGTTGATCTTTGAGCCCACAAAAGACTAGATCTTCCCTGGTGTCAATCAGCAAAGCCACCCCACTCTCAGAAAGGAGCCACATCCATGTAAGCAGCTGAGAATCCACCCTTGTCTTTCCTCTTACCAAAACAACACTTAGAAAAGCGCTTCACCTTGAAATCTTCCCTCAAATATCCACGACTTTTTAGTTTTTAAAAATAAAAGGAAGAAAAAAAGCAAGTAGGCATGATTTTAATGTAATATATATATATAAAAACCAAACCACATGTGTTTTGCTGGCCTCTGCAGCTTGCTGTTTGAAAGATTGGCTAATGTTTCTGTTGGCATCTGTAATATAGATAAAAAAGAGACAGAAACAGGGTTCAGCAAAATGTTGTCATGTTGACTTTTGCTCTTGTAGAAAAACAGGGTGGAAAAAAAAAACCACAGGAAAAGATATTTTAGTTTTGATACAGCTGACATGGCATTACCAGCGCAGGGGAGTTTGAAATAAAAACAAGAAGGGAAAGTGGTTCAGCCCACCCCATTCACTGACGGTGGCCCAGTGAAAGAATTATTGTTCGAGTCAAATCAGGTGGAAGACAATTTCCCAGGAATGCAGCACTGTAAGAAAATCCTACGCTCTCCATATATCTGTCACGGCTCTTTAGTGCCACTAATTCCTGCTCCCAGGGAGGGTGAATGATTCCCCTTTCAGGAGCAATAATTTTAGGTACCTGTACAGCACCAGTGGCTTTAGGGATTCCCCCAGCACCCTTCCTAGCACTAAGAAGAGCCACCAGACCTGAGCGCTGGGAGGGTGTGAACATCGGCAGCGAGGACCTGTTCCCAAACAAAAACCTCTGATGGGTACTGCTGAGGGGTGGTGGAGAGCTCTTGATATATTTTGTAGAAAGGATCACTTGGTCTGCAACGAATTTTCTGGCATTTGAGCCTAAATATCATCATCTATCCTAAAGCAGTATTATGTTGATTTTTCTTCCTCCTGAGATATGCAATAGCTTCTCACATGATCTTTTAAAACTTTTACTTGCACCTGCCTCCTCACAGGAGCTGATCAGTTTGGGGGCTGGTGCATCCCTCCTGCATCTCCTCCCCTATGCCAATGTCCCTATGTCTTCTCTCTCTGCCCATTCTCCTGGATTTCCCTTGCAATGCAGGGCTGGTTCCTTGCCCTCACTCTGCACTACTTGTTGGTTAGATGGGAAATGCATCTCAAGCCATGAGTAAGATGAAACTCACTTTCTGCCACCTTGCACGTCTTCCAGGACTACATCTACTCTGGCAGCTAAAAGGAGCTGGGGCCCATTCCCTGACCCAGGGACTTGGTGTCACAGCACCACTGGAACCTGCAGCACCGAGCCTCTCCCCCAAGACGGTGGCCTCATGCCTTCCTGCCTGTTGGGAAGGACCTCAAGCCTGTGCTGTTCCCCAAACCACAGCCAGGAGAGTGAGAGGAGTTGAGATTGGCCACCACGTCAAACATTTGGCCTCTGGGCCATAGTGAGTGTGCTGGATAGGAATCACCCTTGCAGGGATCCCACCTCACTGGCACTGAAGCACCAAGAGATAAGCTCAAAAACTTAAGAGGACAGATGAAAACTGAAATACTCTTAGCTGGAAAAATATCCCATCATCTAGCAATCATGATCAGTACCTCCTAAGGGACCAGCCAGAAGACTGGCTTTGCTGCTGACTGTGGATGCTTTCCATTAATTGGTGCATATGAGTTGTGTGGGGGCCAAACTGAAAGAAAACAGGGAAAAGTCATTTGGATCAAACAAGAATTGATTACTTGGCAGCATGCAGGGAAAAAA